AAGAAGGGTCTAGGCCCGAAACGTCAGCCTTCCTGCTCCTCTGATGCTGCTTGGCCTGCTGTGTTCATCCAGCCCCATACCTTGTTATCTGTTTTTGCATTAGATCTGTTTTTCATGTACTTTTCCTTTCTAATTTACCCTTAACAGTCTGGTTTGAAGATATCAACACTACACCCACCTTCACTCTTCTAAACTCCAGTGCATATAATCCTAACCAATCCTGTGTCTCGTATCAGTCCTGCCATTCCAGGAATCAGTCTAGTAAATGTTTGCTGTGCTCCCTCCATTGCCAGAACATCCTTCCTCAAATAAGGGGACTAAAACAGCACACAGTACTCTGGGTGTGGTATCACTGAGGTATTGTACCATTGCAGCAAGACATCCCTGCTCCTGTACGCAAATCCTCTCGCTATGAAGGCCAACATGCCATTTGCTTTCTTCACTGCCTGCTTACTTACTGTGACTGGTTTTCAAGGACACCCAAGTTTTATTGTACTTTCCCAATCTGTCACCATTTAGATAATCTGCCTTCCTGTTTTTGCCACCAAAGTGGATAACCCACCTTTTATCTACACTGTAATTCATCTGCCATGCATTTGCCCACTGACTGAACTTGTCCAAGTGACATTGAAGCATCTCTGCAGCCTCCTCACATTGCACTCTCTCACCTATCTTCGTACCTGCTCTGTGGTGATATCATTCATAATCCAGAGTCCCAGGCTGATGCTCTGTGGAATCACAAACATGAGAATTAGAAGTAGGACTGCTCTAAACAGTCTGCCACTTTTCTAAAACTGTGATTCCTGGTTCTGGACCACCACCACCACCACTTCGAGAACGTTCCATGTTCTGTGTAATGTCTAAAGCTGAATTTTTTTAAAAATAATAACTGGTTACCATCCAGGCAGATACTGTCTTAAGTTTTGTAAAAGGTTTAATTTTCTAATAAGGTGTGAGGTTTTCCTGGCACTGTTTAATGTTCTCTTTCCCCTGCCTCCCCTGTCAGTCTGACCAGATGTCTCGGTTGGTGAAGATTCCGGGCATCGTGATCGCTGCCAGCTCTGTGCGTGCCAAGGCCACCAGAATTGCCATCGAGTGTCGCGGCTGTCGCAACGTCATGAACAACATTGCGGTCCGCCCCGGTCTGGAAGGCTACACCCTGCCACGCAAGTGCAACACGTGAGTGTGAGGCGCGGGATTATTTGAGCTTGAGTCGTGGGGTGCTGGGGCTGAAGATGCGCTCCCCATCCCCCTAGCCTGATTCACACCGGTACCTGGTAAAGCCAATGATGGGAAGTGATGTCTGTCATTAAAAACTGTATCTGCTCCTGAGCTGTGCTGCTTGTTCGTCTGTTTTGTTAGCATTCTTGCTTGCCACAATATCTGGAACAGGCCGCCTTGCGCACAGCTCTGTTGTTGCTGTGGAGATTCATGGGGCCCTCCCTGGGTATTTTTCCTACCCTGGTTTATTAAAGGTTTCGGGTTAAAACAGATTTTTAGGGTAATTTTTCATGTTATGTCGAGTCGAGTGGGGGTGGGGGGAATGATTGTTGGCCGGTCTGGCTTTGAGCTCGAGGCCTGGGATTGCTGTTGTCACCTGCGTTGAGTGAGTGTGGACAACGGATGCAATCTGTGTTGCAGGGAGCAGGCCGGGCGTCCCAAGTGCCCAGTGGACCCATATTTCATCATCCCTGACAAGTGTAAATGTGTGGATTTCCAAACTCTGAAGCTGCAGGAAGCTCCCGACGCCGTGCCTCATGGAGAGATGCCCCGACACATGCAACTTTACTGTGACAGGTACAGGAGAGGGGGAGGTTGGGGTGCATTGGGGGTTGGGGCGAAGTTGGTTCGTCAGGACCCCAGGCAGTTTATTCTGAATGTACCTCCCCGCGCAGCAGCTGATGTTGAATAGGGTGGCACGGTAGCTCAGTGGTTAGTACTGCTGCCTCATAGCATTAATCCATGGGGTTTCTCTTTGCAAGAATAATGTGCTGTGGATAAGGGAGAGCCTGCAGATGTAATGTACTTGGATTTCCAGAAGGTGTTGGACAAGGTGTCAAATAGAAAGCTATTGTGCAAAGTAAAGGCTCATTGTTTAGGAGGTGTCGTGGGATTGATGGAAAATTGGTTGGCAGAAAACAGAGTATATCTAAATTGTTTTTTGTCTAATTGGCTGCTTGACAAGTGGAATTCGTCAGTGATTTGAGCTGATGCCTAAGATTTTTTACAATTCAGATCCGTGACCCGGCAGAGCGAAGGCCTAACTTTGCAGACAACGCCAAGAAAGGCAGAAAAATACATTGTGAAGATTACGTGAGCTTGCAGGCTAATTATAGATAGGTTGAAGAAGCAAAAAATCTGGCAGAAAGTGTGTGTGTGTTTAAGGAAAAGATATGAAGTTGTTCATTTTGTAGGAAGAATTTAAAAAGCTATTGCATAAACAGAGAATCAATATGTTTTGTTAGAGTCACTACAAGTTAGTACACAAGTACAGCAAGTTATTAAGGAGTCTAATGGAATGCAGTCCTTTCTTACAAGAGGAATTGAATGCAGAAGTAATGATTTTGTGCTTGAGTTTACACAGGGCATTGGTGAGAGCAGATTTCGAATACTGGGTATAGTTTTGGTCATATTTCAGGACCGATGTAAATGTGTTCAAGGTGATTCAGAGGAGGCTTATGGCTGAGTCCAGAAGAAGGGGCACTATTTTGAAAATTGTGGAGTTGGGGGTGGGGCCTCCCTTTTTTTAGGACGAGTTGAGGGGCAGTTTTGTTTTTTTGAGGGTTGTGCCCCTCTGGACCTCCCAGCTTGGGTGGTGGAGTGGGGAGGCAGTAGTAGATGGAATTGGTCATCTCCCACCCTCCTCTCCTGCTGGTGACTCACCTTCTGTCTCATAGGCATCCACCCTCTCTCTCTCTCTCTCTCTCTCTCTCTCTCTCTCTCTCTCTCTGTCTTTCCCTCTTTCCCTTTGTCTTCACTTCAGGTACCTGTGCGACAAAGTCGTCCCCGGCAACCGTGTCACCATCATGGGGATCTACTCGATCAAGAAAGCAGGTGCGGGCCGTAACAAAGGCCGTGACCGGGTTGGAGTGGGGATCCGGGGATCCTACATCCGAGTGGTTGGGATCCAGGTGGACACTGAGGGTACAGGTACGTACCACCTCCTGCCCTGAGCCGTTTACTGCGTGCAGACACACGCCCGTACACCCTGTGTTAACTCTCTTGTGTGAAATCATTGACTGGGCTACCTTAATACTCAGGTCTTCAGATTACAGAGGACGATGGGTACCCAGTGAATTGTCCCACTCATTTGACTGCGTACACACGGTGCCATGCCTTGATGAGGGTTCCCCCCAACTCGGAGTTCGCTGAAGCTCCATTCTCGGGTCTGAACCAGGGCCTCAGTGGTGATGACGAGTGCTACACTGTCTGAGTTCAATCTCACACCCACCAGTTCACAGAGAAGGATCAGGGGATTAAGGCTTGGGGCGTTATTCCCAAGTGTCCTGGTCCATATCTATCCCTCAGTTAACATCCCAGTGACCCGTCACCTGGACATTATCACATTGCTGTTTGTGGGAGCTTGGTGTGTACATATTGGCTCCCACATTTCCTTTGCGGGCAGTGACTGTTTCAAATGTACTTGGGGGAAAACGGCTGAGGAATATCCTGAGGTTGCAGAAGGCTTTGTCTTTTTTTTTTGCATGAATTACAATTTGATTTATTTATCCATTTTGGGATCTATCTTAAAAATGCTCATCATGTCCTGTTTTTATAGATCATGTGTCCCTTAATCTGATTTGACCTTTGAGTGTGCTTGGTATTCATGAAGGCTGTTCCAGCTGATCTCTGCCCTTTAGGAGGATTCATGGGCCTTGAGCTCTGGTGTGAGATCTTCCTGCTTTCCATGGGAGACCCCCATAATCACAGAGGGTTTTGCTTAATTTAATTGGTGAATAAATTCTGGGAACGTGAGCCCGCAGTGAGTTCGTCCAGTCTCTGACTGGGAGTTGTCTCTCTGGCACTAGGGTCCTTTGTCTCACAATGGTATCATTGCCCTTAGGACACGGTCTGTCTGGTACCACAGCCCCACAGGACGAGGAGGAGTTCCGCCAGCTAGCTGCCATGCCCAACATCTATGAGACCATTGCCAAAAGCATTGCTCCCTCCATCTACGGCAGCTCTGATATTAAGAAGGCCATTGCGTGCCTGCTTTTTGGGGGCTCCAGGAAGCGGTGAGTGTTTCTGCGCTGTGGAAGGGGGTGTTCTCATAGAAGGGGGTTTAATCCATCTGTTTGTGATCTTGTCTCCTGGTTTGACCCTGTATCAGTGTAAACTTCTTTATCTCTCCATTAGTGGTGAGTCTTCAGCTGCCTGGGCCCTAAACCATACCCTGTAAAATCTCTTGACCTCTGTCCTTCCTAAAAGTAGCCTCAAAATCTGCTTCCAACCAAAGACTTGTTGATCTGTGCTGACATCTCATTATCTGATTTTGTTCAGTAATTAAACAGCGCTGGTGTGTGCTGTAAGGTTGCTGAGAGTGTGTGTATGTTTCTGTGTGCGCGTGCTTCCTCCTAGCTTAGTTCCTCATAGAATGGGAGTTGCCTCAAAACAGGGTTCACAGTCTCAGAAATCAGAGAAAACCAACTTGAACTGAGAGGAGGAATTTGTTCACTTGGACCGTGTCATCTTCTACCTCCAGGCTGTGGAGATTCAGACATGTAATATATTTGTGTGTGTGTATGGACTGCGTTGCCCGGGCATGCGGTGGAGGCATGTTCAATTGAGGCATTTGAGAGGGGCATTGGATGTGTATTTGAATGGAAATAGTGTGCAAGGGTACGGAGAGAAAGCAGGAATTTGATGATAGGCGATGATGTTCTTTTGAAGAGCTGGAGCAGACATGATGGGCCAAATGGCCTCATGCACCATAACACACCTGATATTCAAAATTGAGATTAATAGATTTCTAGACACTTAATTGCATCTGGATATGGAGGTAGGGGGGTGGCTTTCAGGTAAATGATCTAGAATGATGGAATATGTCATCCTCAATCCTAGGCTCCTCCTTTCTTGGGAAAAGACCCCTGATGGTCTTCAATTTCCTGAGCTCTGGTTATAATTTTAAATTGCAGTGGCACTTTCTCTAGTGCTTGCTTTGTGATAGGAGGGTTGTGGAGCAGACTGAGCTACACTGTACCAGTGATTTATCAGGTGTTCTAACTGGCATTTCCTTTTCCTCCCCCTCTAGTCTGCCCGATGGTCTGACACGGCGAGGAGACATTAACTTGCTGATGCTCGGGGATCCAGGGACAGCTAAATCTCAGCTGCTGAAGTTTGTGGAGAGATGTTCACCCATCGGGGTAAGAACGGGTGCCTGCTGAGGCTGTGGAGTGGCCTGAATAATTAGATGATTCACCTGCACTGGTTTGCTGATGAGCAGTTCCAACTGTGCCATTCTCCTGCCTTTTCTCCCTACCCCAATACACTGTTTTTGTTTCAAATAACCATCCAGTCCACAGTTTGAAAGAATCCGTCTGCTCCGTTTCCCACCTCAGTTTTTTTTTCTTCCTATTGCACAATTTTTGCTGCTTTTACCAATTGCTTTAGATTGGCACCCTCTAGTTCTTAAATTCTTCATGAGAGGAAGCACATTCTCCCTGATTACTCTATCATGACTCCTCGTGATTTTAAATTCTTGTATCAGATCTCTTCTCTGTCTTTGCTGCTGCAGGGGCAAACAGTCCCAGCTTATCCAAAACGTCTTCAGAAGTTCCTCATCTCCGGAATCTGGACAAATACCATTGGTTGTTTACCTCAGACTGCACTGAGTCCTAGTGTTACAGGCCTTGGCTGCTGGTACCAGCCCCATTGGTGGAGTTGGACCTGGAATGTCAAAACCGTGGGTTGAATGAGTTTACTAATTTATGCGCAAGCTCTAGATAAAATGAGCATGATAACTGTTGGTCAGGAAAACCCAGAATCCTTAAGGGCTGGCAGTGGTCTGGTCCAGCCTACATGTGACTCCAGTCCTACCAATCCCACGTGCCCCTGAGGTCAGCAGTAAATGTAGCTTTTCCCTGTGTCCCTGAGAGTGGCGAGAGGCTGGTTTTGTCGGGTTTGCTGGCTGTGGTGGGAACAGGAGGGAGACCGCTTGCTATAGCGACGCTGTTGATGGGTGTGGACTATTTTTGTGTTGTGTAGGTGTACACGTCTGGGAAGGGGAGCAGTGCGGCCGGACTCACTGCGTCGGTGATGCGGGATCCATCCTCTCGAAACTTCATCATGGAGGGGGGTGCCATGGTTCTGGCTGATGGGGGTGTTGTCTGCATCGACGAGTTTGACAAGGTACGAGGGAGCGCATTCCCAGGCTCTCGGGATCTAGTTAATGTAGACAGGACCAGCTTGTGCCCTCTGTGATTCAAAGCAAGATTCCTTTAATAGGACATCAAGTCCGTTTCATTGAATGTCATTTTGTCAAAATTTGAATGTTAAATTACCTCAGTACATCAGTAATTTGAGGGGGGATTTCTCCGTTCTGTGCTGCATTGACCCTGCAAGTCCGATAGTTTGTAATGTCGTATGACCAGAAAGGCATGTTTATTAATGTTTTGGTGCAACACAAAACTGCTCAATGGTCAGTTGGTCCAACTACTTCACCCCTTTGTGCCAGAAAGTTGGATGTTTTGCCCCAGTTGAGGAATTTAGAAATAGGGGTTGTGTTCTCTGAAAGAAGGGTTCATTCTCGGGTGGACATGAGGTAAGCATTCTTCACTTAAAGACTTGTGAACCTTTGAAATTGACACTGACGAGCTAGTGGAGGCAGCAGTGTGGTTACATCAAGGGTCCTGTGATCCTGAGGCCCTGGATAATGTTCTTGAAATTTGAATTGGATTAAAATCTGGAATTAGAAAACTATCCTAATAGTGACCACGTAACTGTTATTATTGCCATCCTGCCACAGTCGGACCTACACAGGACTCCAGACTGACAGCAACGTGGGTGAATGTGATTTCTACCCCGTGAAATGGCCTAGCAAGCAAGCCCCTTGCTTCAAAGACGGTGGATAACAATTGCTGTCCCAGCCAGCGACACGCATATCCCATACAAGAATAAAAGAAATAGCAGATGTGAGGGGTAGAATGGCTTGGTGCCCTGAGCTTTGCTGACTAGAATCTGCTGTGTCTCAGATGCGTGAGGATGATCGAGTCGCAATCCACGAAGCTATGGAGCAGCAGACCATCTCCATTGCCAAGGTGAGGGACCAGCCCCCAGCTTGGGGTGTGCTTGGGAATGTGACCCGAGGTCAAAGTTGGGAGAAAGTACCGTGGTGCGCTGTGTCAGATGAGAGTCTTTGCATGGGGTTGTGAGAAGGTGTTTCCCAGGGAGTAGGGAGGAATTGAGAGATTAGCTGGATTACTGCGTCCTGGTGCTATCCTGGCTGAACGGCCTCCTCTGGTGCTGGGACCATCTTGTGAAAGATGGAGGGAGGTCAGAGTTGAGAGGCTGAGATGATGGATTTAAGGTGGGCTGAGAGCTGGGTCTACTGCAGGGGAGAGCGTCTCATTGTGGATTGGAATGAGCTTTG